TGGAGCAGGAATGATTTGTTCCCATCTGGTGAACTTATCGTTGCTTCTTGGTGCTGTGCTTTCGTATGGGACTATGTGGCCCTTGATCAGGGGACTCAAAGGGGAATGGTACCCTGCAAGTTTGTCGGAAAGCAGCATGAAGAGTCTAAACGGATACAAGGTCTTGATTTATTAACGTGTAACCAGATATATAACCCAGATCATGTTCACTTTTTATCCATCCTCATTGTTTTTGGCCTTATTTTCTTGCTACAGGTTTTCATTTCAATCTCCTTGATCCTTGGTGATGGGCTCTACAATTTTGCCAAGATTCTGTTTTTCACTGCTACAAATATCTATGCCAGAATGAGAAGCAGGACCCTTCAAGTTTGTAAGTAAAATCGCCTCTCCTAGTCTTTTTACTTCTTGGTCCTGACACTGCATTAGTGAAGCTTACAACTAACATGAAGTTTCTTATTACGTAAAAATAAAATAAAATTGCATACTTTTTTAAGCTTATGCAAATAATTTATTGACCTTTAAATTTTGCAAGCAATCTTCTCTTGCTTTTTAGGATTTTGTAAATATCCTTTTACTACTAATTAATCTGTTATGGATAGATGAAATGCAGTGTATGATGATAATTTTTATTTTTTTTTAAATTACGTGCATATTAAGTTTTCAACTTCAGAGTTTGAAAGCTTTCTTTAAAATGATATACGATGACTTATTTTAAACCAATTATTTGGTTCTGCGGCTGCCATTCTCTCTATTAGTAAATTTAACATGCAACTTTTTAATTTTCTAAATTGAAAGAGGTGGGTGGGACGATCATGATTTGTGATATTTTTGTTTTCAAAGCAGGTTCTGACAATCACCAGACAGAGCCACGGGATGATCTGAAACGAAACGAGGTGTTCTTGAGAGAAAGCATTCCGATATGGGTGGCCTGCACGGCGTACATATTCTTCGCCGTCATCTCCACCGTCGCCGTCCCTCTCATGTTCCCTCAGTTGAAGTGGTACTTCGTAATTGCCGCCTACCTCCTCGCCCCAGCCCTTGGCTTCTGCAACGCTTACGGCGCCGGCCTAACCGACATCAACATGGCCTACAACTACGGCAAGGTGGCTCTCTTCATTCTCGCCGCCATGTCCAGTAAAAACGACGCCGTCGTCGCCGGACTCATCGGCTGCGGCCTCATCAAATCAATGGTTTCCATCTCATCAGATCTAATGCATGACTTCAAAACCGGACACCTTACCTTCACTTCTCCCCGATCAATGCTCCTGACACAAGCCATAGGCACATCGATCGGATGTGTGGTGGCTCCTCTGTGTTTTTTCATGTTTTACAAGGCCTTCGACGTGGGGAATCCGAACGGAGAATACAAAGCGCCTTATGCTCTCGTGTACAGAAACATGGCGATTCTGGGCGTCGAGGGCTTCTCCGCGTTACCACAGCATTGCTTGGAGCTGTGTTACGGATTCTTCGCGTTCGCCGTGGCGGCCAACTTGGTGAAGGATACGAGCCCTGAGAGGGTGGGCCGGTGGGTCCCAATGCCGATGGCGATGGCGGTGCCGTTTCTGGTGGGGGGTTACTTTGCGATAGACATGTGTGTGGGCAGTGCGGTGGTGTATGCATGGCATAAGTTGAACAGTAAAGAGGCAAGTCTGATGGTTCCGGCGGTGGCGTCGGGTTTGATTTGCGGCGATGGCTTGTGGATTTTGCCTTCTTCGATTTTGGCTCTGGCCAAGGTTCGGCCTCCGATATGCATGGGCTTTTCTCGAGGCAACTAACTAGTAATTCCAATTTCACTGGGAAACTTGGGATTTAGCCTATAGATGTATCTTGCATGTTATATATTATGTCTTTAGTTCGCCAAACCCACATATACGTCTACGAGAGGCGTGTTTTCGGCCCAATAAAGGCGGATCGTTGATGTTTCTGAAGTCTTCTCGCTACTTGCACTATAGACGTACGTTCGTGAATTGTGCAAAAGTTGAGCTCGAGTCAGAGTCATTTTTTAATATTTGTCCCTGGGTCGGGGCAAGTTCAAAGACAAAAGGATTAGTTACACTAGGTAAGTTTAACACAATTTCGTGTACAAATTAATCTCAATGCCAATCATCAAGTATCTCTGGCCAAAAAAATAATCATTAAATATCAATGCCCATGATTAATTATTTCAGTCGTAAATATTCATTTGATTATTTAAAAATAATAATTTAATATCATAAATATAATTCAATCCAGGCTGACAGAAAATATACTAACAATTAAATAAAAAATTGTAGTTACTAATAGTAAGTCCTAGTATTTATAATGGAGTTGATTTCTGACCAGTTTTTATTAAAAGTAAATGTTATGAACAGTCAAATGTAATTGGTTATGGGTTATCTTTTGGATAGGATTTGACGATCCATCACTTCAACGTCACCGTAGGCAATGGACCACGCAAATCTTTGATGGATCACGATGCTATTGTATTTATTATGGACCACAGTAACAACTGCCAGATATGGCCTATTACATTTTAAGCTAGTCTCGTTCGATTAAAATGAGCCTGGAAGATACCGACAAAATGTTCCAGTTGACAATAATTTGATCCATAGTTTATAAGAATGGAAGTTAAAATTCTGTCATCTGCGTGAGAAACTTGTTGCTGGATGATTTGTAGATAGTTCTGCAAGCTACCTAATCAAAAATATGTTTTTTTTGGGCCAATTTTTCAGTATTTTTAAAAGTTGAAATTAGTATTAAGAAATTTCCTAAGATTGATTTTAAAAAACAGGTGCTTTTTAGGACAAGATCAAAAAAGGCCCTGAATCGATTCAAAAATAAAATTGAGTGTTGTTTGGTTTATTAAACGAGTTATATCATTTTAATTTATTTAATTAACAAATTGAACGATGTTAATATTTAATACGAACTAAACAAAAGCAGTTAATACATGTGGAGTCGCATTAGAAAATGGTGAGGACAAAGTTATATTCCATTATCTGTAAGTTCTAAACATAAGCTCTGGACACTTTTTTTTTTTTTAATAACCATGTAAGCTCTAAGCATTTAGAGTGAGGAATTTGAATCCTTTAAATCAAGAAATGTGAAGTGATTTTGAAGCACTGAAAAAAAATAAAATCAATAAAGAGTGAATTATTCAGGCCTCCTTTGAATTTTACTCAAATCTTATTAAGACATATGAGGGCCTTAATAGTCAGAACACAACATAAATTACATATGGTTTTTTTTTTCAATTCCTTTAATTGCATGGATGGATTTTTCAATTTTTAAAATAAAAGCTAGCTCCCCTTGACATAAAAGATAAATTATATACTCCCAATTTTCCCCCTAAAATTACAAGTACCTTTATTTTATTTAGAGAGAATGTTATATTTTCAAAATTGAAGAGAAATATATGTACAATTAAAAAAAACAGAGAAATACGTGTTATTTATTCTACGTTTCAAAAAATATGTGATTTTTTAAACCAAAAAAATAAATTATATAATTTTAATAGAGATCTTAAAAAATTTGTGCATTTTACTTAGAATTAAATTTTATATTATTTTTTATTCATTATATATTATTTTCTCATGGCCTTTACACATTTGGATGGGGTAAACTTGTTATGACTTTTGAGCCCGTTGGCCAATAAATGCGTGATAAGGTTTAGGAAGCCATCGTTTTTTTGAAAGCCGTGGATTAAACCCATGGTTTTAGTTTTGTCATTAATGCTTTGACATTATCTTGTCTTTGGGCTGTGTTTGGTTTAAAGGCTGGGAATGGGAAGGGGAAAACTTGTTGCTATAAGGGTATGATAGTATTATTTTTTACACCGAGGGGGAAAAATCAAGAAATTCACATTAATTTTTATGTACAGACATTTTAGTTGCGAGGAAATGTTGTTATTTTAATTTCTAAAATGATATCATTTAGATAATGTAATATAACTGTTAATCATTTGGTGAGAATAGTGCATATGTTAAAAGATAATATTTTTTGTATCTTGATCATTCCCTACTTCTTCCACAACAATGTATTAGGAGAGAGACCACCACTTCGATTGCTTGCAATCTCTTTTGATTTGGAAATTTATTTTCAGGATTTTATTAAAAAAAAAGTGTTTGTTAAAAATGTAGGAGTACACTTTGCTCCTGGCCAAAATATATATATATATATACACATATATATCATTAAATTTTTATTTTCTATAAATTTTGTTATTAATTGTAGTGTAGAGAGATTATAAGAAAAAAATGAAAATGATTAAGATAGATTAATTTTAATTAAAAATGAAAAATAATATTGAAAAGTAATGATAAATTACTTTTCATTATCCTTATAAATATCTAAAGTTGTCATATATTTTGAATCAAATGAAATATTTTGTTGAAGTTATAAGTTTAATGAATTGATGCTCTGTCATTTATTTTATTATATTTTTTGTCTTAAATTATAAAACAATTTAATACACTTATTAATAAAATATATATAAATTTACATTTTCAAAAAAAATATAAATTTTTAAAAATATTTTTATATACTTAATTATTATGTTACAATATTATTTTGATTTTTTCTTTATTTGAAGGTTAATATTAAAAAATATTATTAATGAGATTTTATTTTTTTTCAAATTATTATATATTTTTGAATAATAAATTTTTTATTTAATAATTTAAGATGGAGGCAGCATTTCTGATTCCAACGTGGAAAACTAAAAAAAATATTTGTATTTCATTCATGATTTTCAAAATTCTAATTATATCTGCCCCAAAAAGACAGACAATTGTACTTTTTATTCTAAAATTTTTAATTAAAATATTAAATGTTTTAATTTTTAATTATAATGAATAATCCGATCCAACGCCATGCGCCCTCCGCTCCTCCTAACGGTGATAGATTTGTACTTATCAGCAAATCAGTTTCACAAATTCTCACCAGGAACAATGAAACTGACGCGATATTTTAACTGGCGAAACTGCCCTTATACTTGATTATGATAATGAGAGGTCACTGCTGTAATTTCAATAAACCATAAGGGCATTTCGTGGTTTGCAGTAGGACGCTCGATGAATAAAGGCCTCGGCTAACTCGCCACTCGCCAGTGAGCCTGACAGTATCTTGACACCGAAAGCCGGAGAGAAAGCAGAGGGAAAAAAGGTCCTCTCTGGTAAATCTCTAGTTAAACAACTTGCTGACCGCGAATCTCATATTCGTATTTCGTACTGTCTGCGTTCATGATTTGTTACTTTCATGCATGGAAGAACAAGAAATTGCTGTTCAGTTTTTGGAATCCACTTTTGTCCTAATGGATTGTTGTTCCATTTCTCGATTCTTTAGATCCTCCTCTTTTCCACGCGAATTTTTGTGGATTTGACTTCAATTTTTCTGGACTCTGAATATATTTTGGTTTTGTTGGAGGTGGCTGTGCAAAAATGGCTTCAGATCCAAAAATTCACTCATTCGAAGAAGTGGCGAAGCACAATCAAACCAAAGATTGCTGGCTTATTATATCTGGAAAGGTCAGAATCTAGTATTTCAATGTTTTCGTGCATGGATAATTTTATTGGATTGACTGATGCTGGGAAAAACGAGGAATCAGTTGGAAAAGAAAAATTCTTCAGCATAGAGTGTGTGCATGCTTTTATTAGTTTGCCAGTTCAAGAGTTATGCCTATAGGTTTGGTTTTCTTTCTGAATAATGTTTGACATGGTGATATGCTCAATATGTTGAAATCTCTGATTTTTTGTGAAATCTGCCGATTATGGCGTTCACTTGATTGATTTAAGCAAATACTCATCCTGCATGAGCTTTCTAGCTTCGCATCAGCTTTGGTTACGAATGACATTGAGGGAGAAGTGAGGTACTCTGACATTTCTCACCATTATGTCTATATGGAAGTCCCGTTATCATGCTCATCTTGGATACCCGGAAATGAAATATCTTCACATTTTGCGTTCCCTTTTTGTAATTTGAAGGTTTCTAGCATCATATTGAATTTGGATACTGATATTTGGATGTCTCACTATCTGATGAAAATATCAACTGACCACCCAATGCCTCAAAAACTGTTTGTTGGAATAGATTCAGCAAACATGAGAGATCCTCCAGGGGTGGTGGTATGATCTGCGTGCATTTTTATCTCATGGGGCGGTTCAGAATCAAGAGACTATACATGCACTAAAGATTCATATTAACCTGAAAAAATTCGTTAAATTGTGTCTTTGGAATTCCCAAGTTTAACCTGCAGGACATTAGGCAAATCTGTTGTGTAGGGAGATCTTCATTCTGTATGTTGTCAATGTTGCCAGCTACTTCTATTGGCAGTGGTAGTTATAGAACCTCATTGTTTTATATCTCTGCCTTCCAACTAACCCATCCATTCTACAAGAAATTAGCCCAAGCGCATGTCTAGTAGAAGTAAAATAACTCGCACGATTCCAAACATTACCTGATATTGTTTAAAGGTGTATAATGAGTTGATGACTGGCCTAAGATAATAGTAGGAACCATTATGCATTGCCCTTTTCGCAATAAATATGGTAAAAGGGTACCGTAGTTTGCCAAAGGTTATTTCCATATTCTAATTTGTTCTTTGTATCTTTTTTCAAGTGATCTAAAACTGAGAACGACAATTAGACCTGAATTTTTTTACTACAAGTTATCTTCTAGTGAAAATATAATTTTCCAAACGGTGGAAAGACAATCAATGCGAATGGTTGGGACGGGGTTGGAAAGGGGATAGTGAGAATTTAAGTCTCTTCATAAAGACACACACCGTTAGGTGGGCGGTGGATTTGAATATTTTATTTGCTAATTGGCAGGTGTACCATTACCACAACGAATTATTAGTTACGTTAGTTTGGAACATCATTTTTATTTATGCTTAAGTCTTTGACATTGATTACTGCCAGTTAAAGAATTCAGTGCTTCTATTAAATCAGGTGTATGATTTGACCCCTTTCATGGAGGATCATCCCGGAGGTGATGAAGTTTTGCTATCTGCAACAGGTATGCGTATTCTATCATCTGAATATTGTAAATCTAGATCACCATTATTAACTTTCTATGCACAATACAGGAAAAGATGCAACCAATGATTTTGAAGATGTAGGACATAGTGATTCTGCTAGAGAAATGATGGACAAGTACTGCATTGGTACTATTGATGTATCCACTGTCCCACAAAGGCGGGTTTATGTTCCACCTAAGCAAGCTCCTTACAATCCTGACAAGACCCCTGAATTTGTGATCAAGATTTTGCAGTTCCTGGTCCCTCTTCTGATACTGGCTTTGGCCTTTGCTGTTCGACACTACACCAAGAAAGAGTAGTCCTTTTAGCTTGATTTTTAGGTGTCTCCATCCTCCATAGAGCCATTTGAAAGGACAATGTTAATGTTTCTTTCAGGTCCTCTTATCAAAACTGGATTATAGTTCCTTAAGCGAATATATGCGAACTTCGGCTGCAGTATTAGCGGCAATGTGACTGAAGAAGCTTTTCTTGTTTATGATGAGAAGATGCTGCTCCATTTTCCTTTGTTTTCTTCATGGCAAAATTTACCAATCAGTGTGTTTTCCTTCAATTAAACATGTTTCAATATTTTAGCAAAAATGATCACGTGTTAGAATAATGAGTAATTTTATGAGTGAAAACTCGTTACATGTACTGGGCTTTTTAATTTTTAAAATAGTTTGAAAACATTATGAAAGTGGTTAAAATATAATGATATGCATATTTGACTGTTAAATTTATAAATTTTGAGTCAATTTAACATTCACTTGATAGGTGATTGAATGAATTGTAGCATGATAGATTTCAAATCACAGTAGACACTGATTCTGGCTCAATCAAGAACCCAAGATTTACACCCCAAAGTCCTCTATCTTATTGCAAGATCCCAGGTTTTTGTCCCCGTAATGAGTGAACCTACTAGTTTCTCATCAAGGGGCAGGGAAATTTTTTTTTTTTTATCCCCAGCAATTTCATTTTATTTCTTTTTTCAGAACAGATATTGATATCTTTGTCATATTGAAAATGAGAAAAAGTCCCTCCCAAAGTCTAGCATTTTAGGGTCTATTTAAAATTATTTTTATTTTAATATTTTGAAAATTAGTATTTAATAAAATATATTATAAAAACAAAAAATAATAAAAATGAGTATTTTTTTTATTCTCTCTTACTTTTCTAAACAATAATCTTAGAACACTTAAGAGATGTTTTCATTTTTTTATTTTTTAAAATAATATTTAATTTTTTTTATTTTTCAAAATATTTTTAAAATAACGTTATCAAAAGAATTTTTTATTTTTTTATTTTGGAAAACAAAAAGTTATTTTTTTAAAACATACATTAATTCTTGTCAAGTTAAATCTTTGGAACATCTCTTTCTCCTCTTTGATAAAGTTGCTCGGCTTTAGTTCGTTAGTTCTCACGTCCCCGTCCCATTAAATTGGATAGCCATGATGAGATTGGTTGTTTGATTAGTTTGATAACACTGATTCGGGCGAATCATTTAGTGTTGGTTTGTTTTTTGTTTTTAAAAATTATTTTTATTTTTGAAAATAAAAAATTAAAAACTTATTTAAATAAGTGCTATTTATTTATTTATTTCTAAAACTATTTTCACTTTTTATTTTTAAAAACAATTTCAAGTTGTGTTTCTTATTTTTAAAATACACTACATTTAATTATTAGAAATTATAGTTAACTTAGTTAATTTCTATTATCACTCACGAGAAATACTTAGATAGACTGCGTGCACCATGTCATTTGAAGTCTGTCCAATTAAAATGTCTGAAGTAATCTAAATAAAATCTTATGTGATGCTTTTTAAATTGATTTTATGTTTATAACAGAATGCATATTTATTTTATTACATCTATTATTATTATTATTATTATTATTATTAATTTATATTTAATGTCACCTGAATGTTATGTTTTTATTGGACAGATCACAAACAACGTGGTACGCCCAATTTACTTAAATATTTCTCTATTAATCACCACTATTAATTATCTATAATGATCATTATTAGTTCATTTTTTAATTTTAATATTTTTAATTGACGTAATCGAATGAATCTTTATTTTATTTTATTTTAAAAAATTGTAATACAAAATAATTTTTAAAAATAAAAATGAGAATAAAAGCCAAGCAAGTACTGAAAAAGTTTTCAACTGTCATGATCTCGAGTTATCTATAAAATCATTTTGATCAACAAGTCCAGTGGGTATCCAAAACTCGTATTCTAACATTTAGCACAATTTTTAAATTTTCTGTAGTTTCAGAATATTCAAAACCCTCCTCGCCTCCCGGGACTTTCCGCTGGTTTCAGCAAACGTCACCCACAGTTGACACTTTAAATTTGCATGGTTAGATTTTGATTTTTTATAAATTATTATTAAAATATTAAATTATAAAAACTATAAATAATAAAATTCAAATTGCTAACATTTAATATGAACAATTAAAAATTATAGTAAAAAAACAAAATAAAATATTTTATGAGAAATTAAATCTAAACCATCCAAATCTATATATAATGGTTAAAAATTAGAAAGACAAGAGGAAGAGTAGAGAATCCTATGTATAATGAATCCATATATATCCCATTCCTATTCAAAATAAGAATTATTTTTCTTTTCTTTTTGGTAAAATTTTCTTAATTCAAAATTTTTCTAATTCAAAATTTTTCGATAATGTTTTGAATTTTAAAAAGAGAGAAACACATCCAACCTTCCTTAAGGAAATAAAGCACAGATAATGACCAATATAAAATGAATTGTTATTAAAATGCATAACATAATTTATTTTTTTTAATGGGACTTGTTGTTAATCCTTATTTGTAATTAATTTTTTTAAAAGAGGGTTGAGTATAATTTTTCCTTTTAAAAATTCCAAATACTTAGGATATCAAGCCCAACACTCAGTCAATCCACAGAGAAATCATCAGACTACAAAGTCAATTTCATTCCATAATGATGAATTCATTTATTTATCGAACATTAGTTTATTTTTTAAAATTTTTCAAAGATCTCACAAGGAGTATATCTTAAATTTCTAATATGAAAAATGGAACTTATGTTCTCAACTTACTCTAAAAAAAAAAAAAAAAATTATCCCATAAGGGCATCACTGAAACATTTTCGGATTTTCCTGCGGGACATAACCGAATCCATTATATAATTTTAAATTTCTCACGGAATTGCGGGAAATGGAAGGCCGAGCAATTACATTCTTTTCAGTCTACACTAATCTCTGAACAAAATTAACAATCTCAGTTGATTAATTTTGTTGCATCTGTCATGTCAATATCCTGAATAACTAGCATTTCTCTTCCTTCGTTACATTAAGTGCCTTCTAAGGTATTCTGCTGTTTTGATCTCCACACCAATCTAATTAGTTGTGGGGGGTTGTTTTGCTGGGATCGCTTGTTTTCTTTGTTTTCTACAGCTCTCGTGGGCTGCATTTCTTTGTATATATTCTGGTTTGAATGAAGTTTCTTTGCATTTATTCAAAAAGAAGAACAAGGTACTCAGATGATGTAGTATGCGATCCAGACAGGAGCTCATGAGTCATAGACATTGGATTTGGAACAAGTGAGACGGCTCTAGTAACGCGCCCTGACACTGCTTATCGCAATGGTGGTCCAGAGAACGAGGAGACATGTTTCTGAATAAAAATAAATAGATTTCGTAGAAACTATAAAATAAAAAAATAAAAAAAAAGGAGAGAATTCAAAGATGTCACTTTTTTTTTTGGTTCAAAAAAGGGGGGGAAAAAACACAGGCTAGGCCCCGCCCCGGGGGGGGGGGGGGAACTTCCCTTCACCATCCAAGGAACCAAGCGTTAAAAGTGTCTTTGGTGCAGCGGAGACTAGTTGGCGCTTGGCAGTCTCGAAGAGATGAGATCTTGGGAGGAGAATGTAAACAAGTTTAGTTATAAACTGCAGTCATCGGAATGACGACTCTATTTTGTCATGAAGGGTGACCACCAAGTTATGTGCATCATCTAGCAGTTTCCAAACATCAAGCTGTCCAGCCATGCCATTACATTCCCTAATGATCTCGTCCATGCTGCTATACTTCTCAAGGATCAGCTTCCGCCTTTGTAATACCGAAGCAGCTATTGCGTAAAGCAATAAATCATCTGTTGGTGGAGCACGCTGCCTTATTCTGCTCCAAGAAGATTTCCCAATACCTGCCCTGATTGCAGCTTGATCTGCCCACATGACTTCCCACAGGCAAAGAGTCTGTTCAAATGACAATTCCCTCCTGAACAATACCACCACCATCCTATAAACAAAAAAGCAATCCTCGGCCTGTAGTTTCTCCAGGTGCCTATATAAGTGAGAGTCCTTAAATTTGATAATTTTTGCAACAATGTTCAGTTGCCTCCTGATGCCCACCTCATCAAGCCTAAAATTCTGCCGTGCCTTCTTCATGAAACCAACAAAACACCAGAAAGCTTCATGATCGTCCAATATGACACTAACTATAGGAGATAGCAGATCACTCATACCCTGGCAGTAGCCAATTTCAGGGTCATGTAGTGCATATGCTTCAAGTATGGCAACTAGTCGGGCAGCGTGGAAGATTTCACAAGGCTCCAGGTGACCATAATCTTTCAAACCAACAGCCTCAGCAATACATCTTGCCTGATTTTCTGATACTGCAGCTTGAGAGGGTAAGTATTGTACCCATTCTGTGTTAGCACGTATAGCATCAAGTCGAATAATCCGTTGCCACGTGGAAAAATCCTCATTAGTCACAAGTTTTGATGAGACTTTTGTCTGAAAAGGAGAAGAACCTTCCTTGGCTGCTGTCTTGGGATCATTATCTTCCTGATCATCCACAGACGGGGAAGTCTGAATCTCCTCAGGTTCATCAGATGAGTCTGAATCCAAGTAATCAGTATCCAGTGCACAGGCATCAGCATTAATAACATTAGAAACATCATCTTCCAACAACGCACTTGGTGGATCATCTGAGTATTCAACCTCTGGGCTCCTTTCCTCACTAGAAAGAGACTCCCTAGCACTGGTTGCATCTTCAGAACTAGAAGAACCAGAGCCTTGAATGAGACTCCCACTATCTCTTCCATGGCTGATTCCATCAATTTCATTAAACTTAAAGCTCCCATTGTGGTGCTTTAAGAGCTGCCAGCATTGTCTGCGGAGTTTCTCATATCGCTTTCTGTGTTCAAATATTTGGCATGATATTGCCATAATGTTTAATCAAAAAAAACAGGAGGAGAAACAACCAATATAATGGAGTTCAAAGGGTAAAGAAAAATCATAGATCAAAGCATGGATGTAATAAACAATCATGAATGTAGAGATCAAACTGGTAACCCTACCTATTTTCAGTTCTTATGACATCTCTTTCTTCTTTGGTGCTATCCAAGTCATAGCTGTTATGAGAAAATATGTATTCAGTAAATTAATCAAAGTTTCCAGGAACATACCACAAGTAGAGAAGTAAAATAGTACACAAGGAAGAACCAAATTTAAGCTATTATGTAACAAAAAATGAGGTTCACCCAAAGTATACAAGGATGTAAAATGGTACTATCCAATAGAAATAAAACTAGAGCAGCATGCTTACACTCCAAGTAGGAATGGCCAAACTTCTGCTCGAATACTAGGATCAACACCCTGAATGATTCATTTGTAATGTAGCCATATATCAAATGTAAGAAAATGACATGAAAAAGACAAATTTAAACTCAAGATCAGAACAATGATAAACTCACTCCACTGCGAACTCTTTTCAAAAATTTAATTCCACCATCACGGATTCTCCCATCTTGCGCAAACAAGCTTTTCCACTGCTGAGGTGAAAGCACATGTTTCCTTTTCCTGCGTGACCATGGTGATTTATGCCGGCCCCTGAAAATTCTCCAGAAAAGCATGACTCATTACTGCTTGTGTGTTAGTGAGCATTATAGAGAGAACAAGGCAACAGATGATCATAGGAGAAATTTATCAAAATAAAAACACACCAAAAGGCTAATATTTTGGTAACACAACACTCCATCACCATGGAGGAATCATTCCAAGCTGATTGAAGTTATTTTCCTCCCATCGCAAATAAAAAATGAACAAGCATCTTTAAAGTATATAATTAAAATTCAATGCCAGGCGCCAGCCCTGTAATTCCATACATTTTCTGTGCAATTTTGTCAGATGTCGAAGAAGGGGTGATTAAGCAGATCTATTAACAGACTACTTCTCATATCTCCTGACGAACCTAAATATTTAAATGGGTCCAGAAGATGCCATTATCCAGTCCCACAAATAGAGATGTAACTAGCTGATTGGATAAACTCCAGCAAAGATCTTTTCAGTTTACGGTAATGATACTGCAAAACCACGGTTTGAATTTCTGATCAAGATCATTATAAAGTTGCGTTGCTCCAAGCCATTCACCAACGTCCAATGGAACCTTAAAAGGTGATTCAGACTCTCATTTATTAAAAAAGAGTAGAGCTTATGACTAATAAATAATTAAAACAAGAGGAACGGAACTCCTGAAATTAAGAGGCACCCCCACTGGAGGGGGTGTCAATACCAAAAACAAAAAGATTAGAAAGATCTGACTCTGTCTCCCTTTCTCATTTTTTTTTTTCATATTCTACATGAAGTCCAGACACATTAAAGAACAAAAACACTTTCAATCTAAGACAAATGGACACTGACCAGAATTAGGCCATCGAAACACACAATCAATCAAGTAGTAAAAGTAAAAGTAAGACTGAAATGAAGCTGAACAAATAATTGAGACCCGCAAGAGAAAATGAAAAAGTAAGAAGCACAAACCTAATATATATACTAGTTGATCAAGCTAATATGGCACTATTAGTATGATTTAAGGATGCTTGTGACGGGAGATCTGATATGAGCAAAATAGAAACAACAGAAATATGGGTTCAAAAACTCTTTAAAGCTGAAAAAACGAAAAAGAAAGATCCAAAAGGAGAAAATAACTCACCGATCAGAGGAAGAACAAGAGGAAGCCGGCGAGGAAGAAGTGACAACGAATAGAACCGAACGCAAATGGATCCACGACGAAGATGACGACGAGGAGGAGGAAGAAGGAGAGGAATTCGAAGATGAATGGTGGCTTCGCCTTAGGGGATTCATCTATATTTACACTTTTTTTTAACGGAACAAAGTCGGAATAAAAAACATTATCATCTACGCCTGACTTGGGTTTCTCGCGGCTCTATTCTCGCTTCCTAAAGTTTCATCAGATTCTTTCACCTACTGGCACCATAGAAAATCACAGCAACCAGACCTAACCCAGCCAAGGCCGTGAAGACCGCTGTAAAGGAAGACTGCGTCGCTGCCCCCGACCATTAACAAGAACCGAAGAGAGCCGCCGACGGAGAAGGTGGTACTGTAGCTGTTGCCGCCGCTGATATTCAAGTGAGTAGATGTAAACATGGAGGAGGAATAAGGGGGCGAAAAGTAAAATTACTAGAATGCCCTTACCCTCCTCCTCCTCCTCCTCCTCCTCCTTCCTTTTCAGCCACGACGAATTCTTCCAGATTTTCCCGAGAACCAAACACGAAAACCAACTGCTTCGGTTTCTTTTGCTTTTGCACTTTGATCTTGTCGTTGAGAAAGGGCAACTCTCTATCTTTGTCTCTCCTGATGGGGGGGGGGGGGGGGGGAGAAAGAGGGAAACGACTGGGAAACGAGTGAAAGACTAGGAAAGAATCTAAAGCATGTGTTCGCTTTCGGCTTGGCTTTGAAACAATCAGATGCAGAAGAAAACGATGTCGTTGGCATAAAGACATCAACTTAACCTCACCTTTGTTCGAGTTTTTTTAAACCCTACAGTTATCATTTGATAACCTTTTTATCATTTCCTGTCCTGATAATCCAATCATGATGGTAAATTCTCGGTCAAAATTTACCATGGTGAAAAACATGATTTAAAATTTACCTAGTTCAAGTTTGGCCTCATATATTCTTATATTTATTTATCTAATTTTATTTATAAAACACTTTCAAAATATTTTATAAAAATTTAAAAAAAATTAAAAACTCATTAATTCTATATAAAAAATTAATGATTTTTAAATTTTGTTACTATTAAATATACATGCTTTAACAATATATTTTCTTTCCTCAACATTTAATGAAGATCAAATGAAAAAAATTAATATGAAAATTTAATAAGATAATTTATAAATAAAATTAAAAAAATTTCTCTCTCTGCCCTATAAACAGGATCAAATAAAATATCATATACTCACTTGTATTTATCAAAATATCAAAATTTACTGTGGCTCTTGTCTCTATATATAGTATTAATATTAAATAAATGCTCTATAATTAAATAAAGCCCTATGCACTTGTTAACTTGTGAACAGGGGCGAATCTATAAAAATATTGTTGCTAATTTTTCTATATATCGCAATATGAAGATGAAATACGATCTCTTAAAAGTTAAAACGATAATAAGTTGCTTTATTTGCTTCTTGTTTTTCTGGTTTTCTTTGTTTAACAGGAAAAAAAAAATGATACGATGCGTGATAAATATTAACGTATCTATTAAATTATTATTAATGACAAAATTAATGGATAAGATTTGTTAAATAAAACCTGATTAAAGATGATTCTGCATATTTATCATAAAGATGTACACTGGTGACAGGATTAAAAGGCTGGATAAACCTGAAGGATTCTGACAATTACTACTGAGTACACACTTTTCACTAGCAAAAACACGTAATTCACTAATTTTATTTAAAAAAAAAACATTTGAATCGTGAGTCCTAAGTTTTTAACAATATAATTCTGCATTGATGGTGAATGGCTGGCCTGCCTGGTCAATTATGTTTATCCATAGAGAGCAAACAAATGTTCATGATTTAATTACACATGTTTTGGCCTCATGATTGGGTGTAGAAGATATTTGACTGTATGATGCAGCAAATGGAATCTCATAACAATAATCAAATCAGATTTATCGGGTCAATCCACATTTCTGCCCAAAGGCCACATGCTCTTGTATTTTTCAATTTTCGTTGACATAAAAAAAAATTGTCTTCCATATTTCCTTATACTAACCCTTCACTGATGAGAGACAATAAGCGGAGGAAAATGAGAGAAGAGAAACGTGGAGGGGTGAGATTTTTCTTATTGTACTTGATTAAGTAAAAAAAAACATAAAAGAAAAAAATGTTAATTTTATGTGAACAATAATTATCTCATTATTTGTATAAAAATATTTATATATATAATAAAACTTAATATTTTAACATATTATTTATATAATCTCTATTACATAATATTGGTCGAGTAAAAATACAATTGGAAATTATTTCTGTGCCTTTTGCAGATATAGTACACATTTTATAATTAAATCAAATAAATAACCTAACATTTATTATATCTTGTATTATAACTAATTTATTATATTTATCAATAACATACAGTTGTATATTAACAATAACCCCATATAAATTTTTAATGATAAGTTCTTTATGTATTAATGACAAATTTATTGTATATCAATAATAAATTTTTTGTATATCAATATGAACCGACTATATTTTTAAATTTTTAAAAATTTAGTTCATATTTTTAAGCACAATTTTTTTTTTCAGATAGTGGTTCAATTTCTCCATTATTTCAAACGAATGTTTCATCTAATTTTAAATTTTATTTCTTGAATTATTAAATATATAATAATCTAAAAATTTTAAACTACAGTCAAATATAACAAGAAAAATTAAAAATTAACATTTGTCTAATTGAATTAAAATTAGCATTTAGGATTAACAAAAGGCGGGACACAAAATATTTGTGGATAAATTTGGAAATAGTAGAGTCTCCAATATTATTTTCTCTTCTCTTTTTTGTTCTTTCTTCCCTCTATCTTTCTTTCCTATCAAGTACAGTGTTTTTTCTTTTAGCAAAACAAACCAATTTTATTAATCACTGATCAAAAAAATTACACACACTAATCCAAAAATAAAAGAACGAAAAGTAAATAAAGCCTACCATACAACCTATAGAAAATAAAGACAGAAAACTAAAGCCAACAATACAACCAAAAGAAAATAAAGACAGAAAGCAATAGCCTATAGTACAAAAGGCACAAGTTCATCAAACTCAGCCAATACCCTTCTTGTATGCTTTCATGTTCTTTCCACTGAAGTCTTGCAATAGAATAGAACGCAGAGAGGATGGTGGCTTTAATAGCCATCCTTATAGTACCATGCCTCTCATCACCATAGCTGCAATGCAATCAGCAGCTCTATTACTGTTGCGTGCCACAAAGGGCAAAGACTAGTTGCTATTAGAATTGGTAAATTGGATCAAGTCCAATAGGCCAACCCGAATCCGCCCGAAAACTTTAGGCCTAAGCCCAGAAAAAATAATAAATTTTTATTGTTCGAACCTATTTGGGTAGCCTGAATGGGCTCGAGAAAATTCAGGCCAAACTCAATCGGGTTCGGGCTTGGCCGGAATACCCGAATAGAAAAAATAAATTTTTAAAAATATATATAATATAATAAATATTAATTATTTTTAAAGTTTTATATCATTTTATTCTAAAATACCATATATTTGAGTATACTACTATAGTTATTTTAAAAAATAAAAATATTTTCTTATTTTTATTATTTTTAATCAAATAAAATATCTCAAAATAATAATTAAAATATATTTTAATATTAATTTTTATATTTTAAGACTCAATTTTTTTCAAAAAAAAAGTTGAGTCATATACACCATTTTCTTGTCCAGAAAATTATATTTTATATTTTTTATAAATTAAAATAATTAATTTTAAATTAAAAATAATGTTAAAAATAAAATTTAGGCATATGCGAATTTCTGGCTCTACTACTAAACAAACATAATAAATAAAATAATATTTTTAAATAATTATTTAATTATTATCAATGCTAGACTTGATTAAAAATTAAGAATGAACCAAAATAAACACCTTTTATATATACTATATAAGGCTTAAACAATATAAAAGGTTAAAGATAAAAATTTTAAAAAAAATAATATTTTACCCATAATTAAATGATTTTTATATAATATAATGATGGCTATTTTTTTTTCATATTCTTAAAAATAAAAAGTATAGTTTATCTAATAGTTATTAAAAACTTTGAGCTAATCAGGGTAATAATTTTAAATTAGTGGTTTAACCATAGTTAAATTGAGATTAATTTAATCATAATTAAAATAATATAATTCAATTAAAATTTATAAATATTTTTATATAATTATAATAAGGGCAATATTTAAACAAATAAGACATTAATTTATAAGTAAAGGAAACATTCATGAATAAATCGTATATAATATAATAAAATAGTAACAGAGCTACTTAAGTACTTAACTACAAAGTTAATAAGTTATTATTTTTTTATTCCTTTCAAGTTAAAAATAATATTTCATGCTTAATAAAATTATTTAAAAATTAAAATTGATTAAAAAATAAATAAAAAATATTTTTTAAAAAACTTTTAGGCATTCAGGCCAGCCCGAATAAGCCCGAAGCCTGAAGATGTTAGGGTCGAGCTTGGCTATATGGGCTTTTTAGAATGAGTAAAATTTTTTAAGCCCGATCCGAATAAGCCCGACCCGCCTAAATTACCGGCTCTAGTTGTTATTAGACTTCTTCCTATCTAATCACATCAACAATAGATTTATATACCCCCATTCACAAACTTTTGCATCAAACTTATTCACCCTTTAATAAAGCTCCTGGCAATCAGTTTCTATCACAACCTCACCACCACAAAAAATATCCTTCAACTTCAATGCTTCAATAAGAGCCAAACATTCTGCCATAAAAGCAAAATTGACCTCCACCAATGATCTCGCACCTCCAAAAAACTGACCCTCTTCATCCCTTCCCATAAAACCAATAGCAGCATTATTGTTGATAGTAGAAAAAGCACTATCAATATTAATTTTAAGTATACCAACATCAAGTTTCTGCCAGCTTATAGTCCTATTAGAATCTTTGAAAGAATTTTGCACCTTCTTTTGCAATTCAAGACTGCTTCAAAACTCATTAATCAACCCCAGAGCCTTAACCAAGCATATCTTAGCATTCACTGCACATGCTCAAACACAAAATCACATCTAGCCTTCCAGATCATCCAACAAATAGCAACAAAACAAGTCGCTGCATAATCATCATTCTTAAACTTGCCAAGCAACCATTCCTCCATCAGCCTCCTAACACTACTAAATCCAAATCCATTAAATTTAATTGTTAATGGGGAACCAAACCAACAATAGTTCACCCATAGACAAAAGAAAAGAACATATTTAATTGTTTCCTCATGACAATTACAAATCCTACATAGAGGACTTGTTGAACATTTCTTTTTAAACAAAGCCTCACACATGGCCACAGCTCCACTAATAGCCTACCAAAGAAAATGCCCTAGTTTAGGAGGCACTTTAATCTTGCAAAACCTTCCTATAATCTCTTAGAAGGCTTGTATGAATCACTAAGATCTTTAGAATAGCTACTGCTCAAAGTCTCCTTAGCTACTCGATAACCAACTTGATAGAATAATTTTCATCTTTACTCTTCAACCAAACCATACTGTCACCACCCTCCCTAACAAGTATTCTTACTGATCTGATCATATCCATCTCCATCTCACTAA